CTATGGAATACAGGGACTTTAGAAAAGGAAACAATAAACTTCCAAGAGAGTATTCAAGTACCAATAACGCAAGTTACTTTTATGAATGATGACGGGATGAATGATGAGGGGAAGATAGTATTTTCACTTTCAAACGGCGAGGTAATTTTCACAACACATACACTTAATTGATTATTGAATAAAGATGCTAATGTTTCTCCTTAATTTTTCAGGTCTTTGTTGCACATCTCCACAACAATGGTGAAGTTAGGAAGACACTATTGGGCAAGCATCTCAAATCTGTCAGCGGTCTTATCAGAGACACTGACAATCCGAATCTGGGTTATTCCTGTGGAAAAGATGCGTTCATAAAATGCTTTGACATCCGGAGCCCTCGTCTTATCAATCTCCAGAAGTGTTATAGGTTTGAAGGCAACCCATCACTTCCCCTTAAATTGAATGGCATCTTACAGAATCCTGACGATCCTAGATGCATTACTGTCTGTGGAAATGACCCATACGTCAGAGTTTACGATCTCAGGTTGTTGAAAGAAGATTCAAAGTGTCTTGATAATGTTTACTTGCCACATGATCTAGCTAACAGAAGCACTGCTTGCATTAAAGGCATAGCGTATTCGAAGATGGGGCAACTATTGGCTTCTTGCAACAACCAAAAGATATATATGTTCCAACAGGAAATGGGATTAGATCCAAAATCAATCCATCTTCCCTTGCATCTCAATGCTTTGCCAATCTGTCTCAGTGAAGCTCAGGTTTATCAGGGTCACACGGTTGATAACCAGTTGGACAGACATGACATAACTTTCTTTGGTTCTGAAGATGAGTACATTGCCTCTGGATCAGCATGTGGAAAGATTTTCTTTTGGAACAAAAGAGAACCCAAGAGGGTTAGCTGCATTGAAAGTTTGCACATTGTAAGGTGCATGACAAGGAATCCTCGTCCCAATCACCCCATACAGGCCGTACTGGCTACTGGTGGAGTGGATCAATTTGTTCGTCTCTGGGGTCCTAACAATGAGCGGTTAAGTAGAATTGAAGATGGCTAATTTGATTTTATCTTTTAAAGTTTTTGGAGAAAAAGTTAAAATTGGCATCTTTTCTGCTATTCTGGGAAGTTTATGCGTACATTCTTTTGAATTT